TGACAATCTCTTCAAGCAGCTTTTCTATGTGTACTCTGCCTTCTCTGGAGGCATTCAAGGCCAGGCTGGATGTGGCTCTGAGCAGCCTGGTCTGGCGGTTGGTGACCCTGCATGTAGCAGGGGGTTGAAATTGGATGAGTATTATGGTCCTTCCCAACCCAGCCATTCTATGATCTTATGATTCATTTCTGAAGTACAGCGGGGTGGTGGTTGGTCTGGGTCAAAACCATGCAAGGGACTGTTGCAGCAATCTACTTGTCTGAGGGATTGGAGTTCCAGGGTCTGGGAATATTCCCTGGTGCTGATCTCTTTTTTTTTTTTTTTTTTTTTCCTTCCATAGATGTGACCTCAGTGTCCTCACAGTGCACTAAGGGGGGAGAAACTCCTTCTGCACCCAGACCACATCACTGTGGTTTATTCTGTCATTTCACAGATGATCTATGGGTAATTCAAGCAACGAAGCTGTTTAGAGAAAGCAGAAAGAACCCAACTGATTCCTGCTGGTACCTCATTTCATCTTCTGTGGCCAATGTCTACTGCTGTGAGCAGACACAACAGAACATGGCCATTGGCCGCCTCTGGTGGCCCATTTCTCTTGTACCTTTAGAAGATGCAGCTCTCTCAGGTATCTTCTTCGTTGGCCCTGTGCTTCGTAATGCCTTCTGAGTTGGAACAAAGCGTTTACAACCTACCTCTGAAGCAGAAAAAGATGCATTTCATTATTTTTTTAGTTATTATTATTAGTTATTAATTTATATTATTATTATTTCCAGAGGGATGTCTGTGTTTTATTCAGGCATAGGTGTCCAGGCCAAGACTAGGCTCTTTTCTGTTTGTCTTTGGCATATAGGAAGATTGTCTTTGTTTGACACAGCTGTTTTTCTACACAGACGATGCAGAGATAGGGAAGACTAAAGAAAGCAGTTTTCATCCTCATAAAGCAGTTTTTGCATCTAGCCAGTGACCCCTCTCCACCTGGTTTTAAACCAAAGGGCTGATATTAAAACAGCACTCGCTTCTCATGTGATCTGAGCAAAAGAAAGAGAAATAAGAGCAGATCCCCAAAAAACCCGACCAGCCTGAGCGCTGGCGGAGCGCCAGGGAATGTGGGGAGGATTGGACTGTGGGGTTGGAGGAATGCAGGCCTTCCTATCTCTTTTCCCAAACATTCCCGCCTGCAGCAGACTAAATATTTTCACATGCTGCTGCTGGAACACCCAGGTTCATGGTCAAACAGAGGCACAGTGAGCAAGGCCTGCTCTGCACTCCTGGGGTGATGGTCCTTATTACAGCCTGGCCTGCAGCCAGTTGCCTGGCACAGAGTATCATGTTGCAATTTCCTTTCTTCATCCAACTTCTTTCAGGCTTTCATCTCCTTTTTCCTTTTTTTTTTTTTTTTTTTCTTTTTTCCTCCCATCATCTCTCTCTGTTTTCACCCTATGTTTCTTGTCAGCAATTGTTTTCAACCCACTCTCCAGTCGGTTTTGTGATCTTCGTGCCTCTGAGAAAGTCTATGCGTGACCTTAGGAAAACCCAGGAATTGTTTGTCAGACTTCTTCATCCAAAACAGGTAGATAGGTGACCACAATTATTGCAATGAGAAGTAGGCTACTAGCTGGGAATGGGCAGGATGAAAGCCATATCATAGCCTCTTGCTGAAGATTTCTACTTTGGTCTTGGACAGCTCAGCAGCTCTTGTCAATCTCGTGAGCTTGGACTGATATGAAAATGGTTTCCGTACTTTACATGGGATATCCTGGAGCACATTTATTTATCATTGTGAAGTGCTTCAGCATTGCATTGAATGAGACAGGAGGAACATTATTTCACCCAGTGATGCACTGGAACTGGTTGCCCAAGGAGGCTGTGGATGCCCCATCCCTACAGGCATTCAAGGCCAGGCTGGATGTGGCTCTGGGCAGCCTGGTCTGCTGGTTGGCGACACTGCCTGTGGCAGGGGGGTTGAAACTGGATGATCATTGCGGTCCTTTTCAACACAGGCCATTCTATGATTCTGTGAAAAGGTAAGGGAGGTGTTGAGTGAAGTCTGATTATAGCCTTTCTTTAGATGTAGATGGTAATGACTAGGACTCTCCTTTGGTGATGATCTTCACCTCCTCATGTGGAAATTACCTAGCAGATTCGCCCATACAAACATAGCTAACTGCTTGTGAGCTGGATATCCATGAATTCATTGTGATTGGTATCTAATTAATAAAGTTGAGGAGCTGTACCTCTTTCCCTGAAGCAAACACTTATATTCTTTCAGTCACCTATGTCTATAGACTCCATGACATAAAATTACTAGCTTTTTGTCATCCATTTCAGATGTACTTGGAACTTAAATGTTTAGTGTGGAATTCATTTGACCAAAGACAGACATTTGGGACCATCTGAATTACTGTGGTCTATTCCATTTGGACTTAGCAGATGGGAGTTTCCCATAGATTCTAAATTGTATCTGTGAGCCCCACATAGATGACTTGGGTACTCTGAGGTCTTTCAAATATCACTGGGCACAAGGCTATGTGAAAGAGAGTCCCATTCCTAATACAGACACAGGCATCATCATGTAGACTCTTTTAGATGTTTGTGTGCATACAGTAACTGCAATGCAGCACTGAGAACAGAGCAATAGTGAGCAGGATTTCTTTTTGGATAGCATACATGCAATAAGAGCATGAGCAATCTGTCTTGGAAATCACTGGTTTTACATGCAGCTTGTGGTCATGTATTGCATAGCCTTCTTCTGGACACCCAGCAGGAATGTGCCTTCGTGCCTAAAATGAATTCAGGCACTTGCATTTAGTCAATCAATTGTGATCTGTAGGAAAATGCAGCTTCAGATTGACATATCTGTACTTCTGCATTTTACATTTGTGTTCAAATGAGATGTCTCAGATCTCTTCCTTTTATCCAGTCACCCAGTGGAGACCTGGCTTTTTGTTTTGTTCGGGGGGCTTGGCACTCCTTGCACCTGGAATGGATGGTAGTACTCAGTAGTCCCTTATGTCTATGGATGTTAGTTCTCTACTTTCTGTCAGACATGTCTAAATCAAGACTTCCCTTCTCACTCTTCCCAATATACTCATTTGGCCCTTAATTTAGTGATGATGAAAGATTTCCAGAATCTTTCAGTAAGATACAGTTTTCCTTAACATAACTTCCCATTGTACGACCGAATTCCCACTAGGAAGGGATCAGGGAATTCGTAGAAGGACCTTCCATTTCATGAACATTTGTCAACAGAGAAGTGTTACTGTGACTCCAGGTGCAGCCTGTTAATTGCCACTCCTTTCAAGACTGTTGCATTGGCAGTTTTCTGCTGATTTTGGTTCTGGCAAATCAACATGTGTACAAAGCTGGCTCAGATGAATCTGCATGAAGCTACATTGTGCTATATGCATAATTTTATCTGAAGATGGGTATGTCCTGCTAGACAGAAGGTGTGTTGGTGATACTTTTCAAGTCTTGGAGTCCATCAGGGTGATAGAATGTTCCATGATAATCACTGATGTGAGAGGAAAGGTTGAGCTCTACAATTTGCTTTCGGCATTGGCCATTGACATTTGAAACTGGGGACATGTAGCACTCCTTTTTTTCATTTTAATTTTTTTTTTCCAACATGTCTGTGGTACTTTCCCAACATTTGTGTGCCAGCAAATGAGGAAATCAAAGAGCTCACTTTCAGTTACCAGGTGGTATTACTGTAGGGTCATTTGTGTAAGGATAGCTTTCCATGTGTTGTTATTGCTTTTTCATTGTTTGTTTGTTAGTAATTCCTGATGCCTTTTGCCTGCTGTTCTGGGAACTATCTACAAGCCTTGAGGAGTCATCCCATCACACACTAAACTGCCTGATGTTCTCCATATTCCTCATGGCTCTGGTACTAACCTTGAAACCCAAACATCTTTTGTATGCCTATCTAGGAGTATCAGTGTCAGACGAGGCAGGAAAATAGTTTTGAATATTGTGAGTTTTTTCTTTGCAGTGAGTGTTTTCATATGTGCAAGACTTTTTTTTTCACATATGTGTATGGAATGGAGATATCTAATGTTCTCATTAAAGAAATTGTAATGGACTGTGATCAGGAACTGAAACATTCGGATTTTTTTCTTATAATAGACCTGTTGCAAATCGTTTAGAGAAACTTTAAGAACATGGCTACTCATCTGTTGAAAATCGGTTTTTAACTTGTCGTGATGTACCTGTGCTTGCCAAACCCAGATGACACAAGATGTGGAGTGACAAGGAAACAAATGTTTAAGTGAGAAAACCGATGACTTGATCAGGAGTGCTGTCACTGGTATCATTACTTACCAGCAAAGATCTTTAATATTGGCATAGCCTCTATAACTGTCAGTGTTAGTTAATCCTACCAGAGGTAGGTAGCTAATCCTACCAGATTAGAGTCATGAGAAGTCAATCTGATAGAGCACTAGAGGATCCATCAGAGAGCACGTGGATGTATGAGACCTTGTTTTACGGAGAGTGGAGTGTGAAAGTCACTGAAGAACTTCTTGTGCTCAGAAGTTGTCACACTCCACTGTGTGTAATTCACCTCAGTCACATGTTTATCCCCTTATTTAAATTTCTTGCATTTTTTTCCTGTCATTTTCAATGTTTGCCATTTCCTTCATTTTTCCCCTGTCGGAGCTGAGCTCTAGCGAAGGGGAATATTTCCCACTTATTCTTCCGGCACTTGCCTGGTACAGCAGTACTTCTCTTGGGAGGACATTTTATCTTAAGCAAATATTGAATTTCTGGGATTAATATACCAGTTGGTTAGGAAACAAACCAGGCCAGTTCCAAGAAGCATTTGCTTACTGATAGCAGGTGAGATAGCTAGTGCTGATTGGATCTTGATGGCTTCTAATTATAGAAGACTAAATTATAAATATTTGCAATCTAAAAATTTTGAATCAGTACTTTGGTCCTAGCCTCGGTAAACATGGTTATTTAGGTATTTTGCTCCTACCTAACTGCATGGAATACTGAGCACGAGAAAGTCAGATACAGATGAAGATATACCTGCACAGTCCTGAATGTGACATCAAGATGAATTTAAGTCAAATCCTGATGCAAAGGTAAAATTACCAGACTAAGATCTTTTTTGGTAGTAGCTAAGTTTTTGTCTATGTTTTCATATACTCAGACAAACTATTGCTTTTGGCTTTTTTTTTCTCTTTTTTTCTTTTGAGAACGGAGTTGCACATTCATGAAAAGAAGCAAGGAACTGCTTGCTGCCTTACCTATTCATGCCATAACTGGATTTATTTTTGCGTGCCCTTGTTGATGTTTATGACCACCTGAATTTTCCTGGCTTTTAGTGGGAGTTAAGCCTGTAAAGTTCTCTGGGTTTAACAAACAGCAGCCACAATTCCTCTCGTGATGCCTAATTAAAGTCAAGAGGACTGGTAGAGTTTTTTTCCTCTATGGCCATAATCTCTCTCACATTTTGTTCTGCCTTGGTTGTATTGCACACATGTGGCCTATGAAAGTGTGTGCAAGGTCATATGACAGACTTTGACTATGGGGAGTGAACATACCTGGCAGTGGGCTCCACACAGCTCAAAAGCCTTGCAAACTCCTTTGCTTTCTCATTTCAGCTAAACCTGCCTGTAACATCTATGGAGCAGCCAAAGGCATCTCATCAAGTGGTTGAACCTGACCAGTGGGTCTATGAAGCCCATGTTACACGGTTCAAAGAAGTTCAGAAACTTTGCTGCACTTTCCTCTATTGCAAAGTGGCCAACCCCTTATTAATTTTGCTCTTTAGTGGACATGGTGGTGATGGATTGAATGCTGGTCTAGATGATCTTAGTAGGTTGTTCTGAAATCTTAATGATACTATGATTGTATTTTCCTCTTCAAAACATAAGCAGCAAGTGGGCTGAAGCTGAAAACATTTATTGTGGTAGTTCACACTGGCAGAAGACCTTACCATTCTTGGGTGATGTTCACAATACTGCACAGCCCCTTCCTCCTCCAAACACACCTATTCAGCCACTCCTGTAGAAAAACAATCTGTTCATGTCACTACAGCAGAATCAAGTAAATTTCACGATGAAGATAGAACACTATAATTTCTATCATTATTTTGGATAAGGAGATGGCAACATGGCTTACAAAGTAGCCTACAACAGGGTCCCAGATGCACTGCCATAGTCCTCAGTTAGAAGTGAAGACAATATGTAGGATTCACCCTTCATTGTAAGAAATGCTTGTATACAAGCACTCATCATTTCTTCTTCCACTCATTGGCTCAGTAAGAGAAATTGTCTCTACATGTATCTATCTCTTAACTCTTAAATAGTTCCATATTATCACGGCTATAGGTATGCTACAACTATTTCTCTGTGTTGATACTTCATGGCTGAGTTGATTAGCTTTTCTCATCCCAGTGACCTAATGACTTCCTGAGTGGCATTCCTATTGGTCAAAGCCAAAATAATTTGGAATTTGTATGGGAATGATTCAAATGTGTGGCTATGGGGAAAAAAACCCACAACAATCCTCCTCTAAAAAATGCAGACGTCTGCAGTGTAATCACCAAGGATTGAGATGATCTTCCATATAAAACTCCTTGTAGGATAGAGACAGAAGTAGGCACTTAAAATTAGTTTGACTTCAGATATTAACTTCATGAACAGTGTTCCTAACTATTGGCTAAGTTAAATATGTCTCCCTGGGCTATAAAGGGAGCTTCAGATGACTGGCTCAGACAACTTCGTCTGCACTGTAGACTCTCTAAAGTTAACTGAAACTCATGGCACTCTGAATACTGCTTTACCATTACAGTTGAGGCTTCCAGAGACTTAAGTTTCTTCCATGTTAAAGGAAGAGTTTGGTGTGAAAGCCTTTAAAATCTTCTGAAGAATCTGGAACATTTCCCTTTTCAGAGCAGAGAGTGACACTGGGGAAATCGTATTCCTCCATTAGTAAGCAAACTGTTTTGTAAACTGTGTAAAATACTGTAGCTGCAACTAAATAGTCCACATTACACTAACTTTCACCTGCTAAGGCTTTAATTTTTCACAGCACAGTTTGGTGAGCAGCTTCTTATTGAACTAAAGGCCCTACATACACAGAAAAATTATGGTGCCATCACGGAGCAATTCTTCTTATTGGCTGAATGACTATAATTCCTTCCATGAGCTGTAAAGCTACACATATGGCTTTACTGCCTCAGAGTTAGTTTAATAAGGATTCCCCTTAGGGCTGTCCAGACGGCAGATGGCATCGTATGTGAAAATTAAACTCCTGAACTGAGGCTCCAAAACTATTACGAGGCTTATAAAATACACCTGGAGGCTTTAGGTGAAGTGGGAAAGCCAGGAGGTTCCCAGTGCAAACAGAAATTGTTGAATGCACAGATAGAAAAGGTCCCTTTTTGTTTCCCAGCATTAACCCAGTGACTGACTTGTCTCAGACTTGTTTTCATAAGTCCCAGGGCAGAGCTAAACGCTCTCTCATTTCTTGAGCTGCTGGTGCTTTGTGCCACATAAATTTAAAGACAAACCACTCTTTTCTGTTGTTGCTGCTGCTTCAGTTCTGCTTTAATTGCTGGAGAGCCACTGTAGAGATGGTGCATAAGCAAAAGTTTTGCAGTGATGTTTGAAGAGTTTTCCCTTCCTCACAAAACCTGAAGAGTCTTGGAATAAGCAAATAGACAATGAATAGGGTCTGAACAGAAGAGAGGCAGATGATATCTGAGCCCATCAATAGTAGTAGTAGTCTGCACTGCTCTACATCATTTTCTCACCCAGAAATGCTTTTCTGCCAAAGTCTGTGCCTTTATCCCTCTCCTTTCACCTTCTTCCTGCTCTCTTGGTTATGGTTTCATGGTTAATTGTTGGTCAAGCATAAGGAGTGGGAGGTGGACAGCAGCAGATGCCTGCCCAGACCTTCAGGCAGTTTGCAGTGCCTGTGACTGTCTGCTTATGAGCTGCTCCACAAATTAATATTCTTTGCATTTTGTATGACTTAGCAATATTTTGAGCACAGCAGATCTTCCAGAGCTCTGTGGATTGTGCTGAAAATTGTGGGGAAAAAAGAAAAAAGAAAATGCTGAAACCAACTATTACTCATCCTGCAGTCAGCCATCTCTCATGTGAACCAAGAAAATGTTCCTGTGAGGATGGAGATATAAAATATAACATTCCTACCACCTTTTACAGCCCACACTGGCACTAGACCCTACTATAAGTGGTGTGATGGAGTTTGTTTTTCAACCTAACAGAGTATTCCAAAGTGGGATTTAAGACTCCTAAATTGAGATGCCTACACATGAGAAAGTGCAAATCCATAATGCAGTTGCCTTCAGCTGAGCTAATTTACTATAGCTCCCATTATAGTCAGTGAGAGAACGCTGTCTGTACATGCACAAAGTAGCTAAACTTTCATGGAAGTCAATGGAGTCTCAACAGCCAGTAATCACTGTTGCTGTGGGATGTCTAGAGACCATGGCATACAGCAGTGTAGTCTAATGCAACTGCTTTTCAAGGCAGGGAAATGCTAACAGAGGCACTGAGGTGTTGGGGTTCACCTTAAATCATTTTTAGGAGACAGAGTAGGATGCAGCGTCCACAATTGCATGTCCACATGGACCCTCAGTGTCTGAGCAATTAGTAAAATCAGTATGTATCTGAGACATACCCACAGTATTACTATGTTCTTTGCTTGAACCTAGAGATCTCCTGTGTAAATGTCACAGGGTATCCCTTCCACTCTCATCACCACAAAGGTGAAGACAGCCTTTAAACTCTCCGTTTGTGTGGGTATTTCAGACCCAGCTGGTTTTATTTGGACAAGTGAATCAAGCAATTACATGGATTTAGCAGGGATGCTTGCTAGACTCCGGTGCTGTGTTGACTAGCCCTTCTCTGGCTATAATATCAGCCCAGACGCCAGCTCTCTTGCAGACATCTACATAGAAAAACAGTGTTTATTTTACTCCATGAAATCAGTCCCACACCTACTGTGCCACACTAGTGGAGCAGGTGAAATAAACTCTTGCTAACATCTCTAGCCTCTTGGAAACATGGAAAATCAGGATTATACTCTCCTAGATTGAATGCTAGTTTGCAAAGAATGTTAAGTGCATTGGGTACACCGAAAGGAACAGAATACATAGAAAAGCATCACCCACGTCCACAAAATATTATAGTCAGCTGTCAAGGCCTGTGTCAGCTTTGAACAGAGCCCGTGTTTATTAAATGTTCCTGACTTGACTTGTGGGTGTGTAAATATTCCCACTTATAAAAAGTAAATCTTGAAGCATTCACCACTGCCATTGTCTTGTGAACATGAGGTGCACTCAAAGTCCTTGTCAGGAGTAGTTTTCACAGAGGGTATATTTTGCTTCCTGAAAGGATGAAGGGTAGTTCAGTACAAGTAGCTAAACAGATCTAAACTTTTCTTTCTCTAACCTAGCTTTGGGTAAATGCAACATAATTATCTATTGATGAGACAGGTATTCTGGGCTCCCACATTATCAGCATGGAGAAGTAGCCACTTTTAGATGTGATTCCACAGATCTGTTTTAGACTTCCATTTTAGAAGAGGATGAATCATGACTTAAACTCTTATCGAACAGCACTCCATTGAATCCTTCTTTCACTTACCTCCTTTGGAGCCAGTACCCCTGCCAAAAGAAATTCACAGTGAAAATCAAGGAAGATTTAGGAGATTACAACAGTTAGACTTCTAGTCATAAACCAAGGGAACATCTCCCTTATAAACTGGGACCCATACATTAGTGTTAAGATAGGGAAATTTCAATAACAGAAAGCAGAGGGAAGTAGTGGCAGGAATGAGAGACCATTTCTTTTAATGCCTGATGGCTATTTTCAGTAATGGTTTGTTGCTGACATCAATAAAGAGTTTTCCAGAAAAAGTGAAACCACAAATTTATGCCTTTCTCATCATTCCTTCACTGCACAGGAATATTCCCCCCTCTTTTAATTATCTCCAGATAATATCCCCTCCCCAAAGGATGGCAGTGCATTTGAGGATTCTTCAATGGGAAGAAATAAGCTGAAGTGACACACGCAGAACAGACAGAATAATGAAATCTGAGGGCATA